AATGTCCAGGTTGCTACAAGATCACCACGGTTTTCAGCCATGCTCAGACAGTGGTTCTTTGTGTAGGTTGTTCAACAGTGTTGTGCCAGCCTACAGGAGGAAAGGCCAGACTCACAGAAGGTATATCATTTGGCATTTTCCAACCCAGTGATGAGATTTTATGATTATAAATGTCTCCATCTTCACTGAAAAGTTTAAAGAAATCTTAATGATTACCAAAACAGCTTTCCTCTTTCATTGCGTGCTTTTAGTAAAGAATGCCCTGTTCAGCTGGATATGTTTATACTCTTGCTCTTGCAATGAACTCCACTATTATTTTTCTTAGTTTAGAACACCTAGTTCTTTTATATTCATTCACTTAGTTTGCTTAACTTGGAATAAATTAAAGAAATCAAAATGGAAACAAAAGAATAACTACATGTTATAGGACATACGGTTTTTTAAAACCATATAGAATTTTTAAATTTCTCATAAAATTTTGTTCCATATGGTTTTAGTACATATAATAGTTTTTTTAATCATTGCCAGCTAAACAGATAGCTAATGTGTAAGTTAAAATGCCAGAGGTTTTATTTTTATGAGCAACTGCAATGATTAATATAAAAACCTAATTTTAATTCCTCTTTCACTTTAGTGCAGTAAGAAAAAAAATTACGTATATAGTTTCCATAGTAATACTCGTAAATTTACAATTCCATAATGATGTTAGAAATTTGCTTGTGATATTTTGGGGAGCTGTAAGTTCCATGTTCTCACTGGAATAATTCAAGTGGATTGGCAGCAAATCTGAGATCTATTTGGTGTGACCTGGTGAGATCTAAATATGAAGTCAGCACATGATTTTTTAATTTTAATTTTAATTTTTTTGAGACAGAGTCTCGCTCTGCTGCCAGGCTGGGGTGCAGTGGTGCGATTTGACTCACTGGAACCTCTGCCTCCTGGGTTGAAGCAATTCTCTTGTCTCAGCTACCTAAGTAGCTGGGACTATAGGCATGCGCCACTGCATCCAGCTAATTTTTGTATTTTTAGTAGAGACAGGGTTTCATTATGTTGGCCAGAATGGTCTTAATCTGTTGACCTTGTGATCTGTCCACCTCAGCCTTCCAAAGTGCTAAGATTAAGGCGTGAGCCACTGTGCCTAGCTAGCACATGATATTTTAAGAGTAGTATTGCTAAGTATACTTGTTGGATTTTGAAATGTAGTGCCCATACGCTGACAGATGGTTTAAAGGGTGCATCTGATCTAGAGTTTTCCTAATAGATCTGAAAATAACTCTAATCAAAATTATTTTCTTGAGAAAATTATTCAGAATACTTCATAAAAATTAAGAGTATCTCTTCTGACCGCTTTTCACTGTTGAATTCAGGCTCATGGTCTTAAGTAGACTTTATTATAGCATTTGAGAAACAGGAGTGACGCTTATACCAGAGTACACTCAGCTATAACAGATTTATTATAGCAAATTTCTGGCATGGGAGGATAAATAATCTGTATATGAGTATTAATCCAATATTCTTTTTTTTGGGACAGAGTTTTGCTCTTGTCACCCAGGCTGGAGTGTAATAGCGTGATCTCAGCTCACTGCAACCTCTGCCTCCTGGGTTCAAGTGATTCTCCCGCCTCAGCCTCCCAAGTAGCTGGGATTACAGGCACCCACTACCACACCTAGCTAATCTTTTTTGTTTTGTTTTGTTTTTGAGATGGAGTTTCACTCTTTCGCCCAGGCCAGAGTGAAGTGGCGCAATCTCAGCTCTCTGCAACCTCTGCCCCCTACCCCCATGTTAAGCAATTCTGCCTCAGCCTCCCAAGTAGCTGGGATTACAGGCGAATGCCACCATGCCTGGCTAATTTTTGTATTTATAGTAGAGGCAGGGTTTCACCATGTTGTCCAGGCTGGTCCCAAACTCTTGACCTCAGGTGATCCACCCACCTTGGCCTCCCAAAGTGCTGGGATTACAGGCATGAGCCACCACGCCCAGCCTAATCCAATATTATAATTATTATTATTTTGAGAAGGAGTCTTGCTCTGTCATCCAGGCTGGAGTGCAGTGGCGTGATCTTGACTCACTGCAACCTCTGCCTCCTGGGTTCAAGTGATTCTTCTGCCTCAGCCTCCAGAGTAGCTGGGACTACAGGTACTCGCCACCACACCCGGCTAATTTTTGTATTTTTAGTAGAGACAGGGTTTCACCATATTGGCCAGGCTGATCTGCCTGCCTTGGCCTTCCAAAGTGCTGGGATTACGGGTGTGAGCCACCACATCCCCAATATTCTTAAAACTCTTCAGTATTTTACTGAAAAAGTACTTTTTGTCATTAAAAGTTTAGCAAAGGTATAATACCCTTGTTTAATATACTCTCATGATTCTTTTGCAGGGTGTTCATTTAGAAGAAAGCAACACTAATGATCCAAACAGCTTCCTGAATTTGTGTTATCTCACAGAAAGCCTTATCATAAGTTCCATAATTCTAATTAATCTACCAAGATAATGTAATTATATTTGGTTTTGTAAGGTATACAACAGTGAACTACTATTTTGGTGTCAGTTTTTCAATAAAGTTTTGATTATGGGCAAATCCCCTCTTTTTCTTTCTTTTTAAAATATGTGTGAGTATGCCATACATTTATATATATGGTACATATTAATTTGGTTTAAACATTTCAAACTTTATTCTGATTAGTGTGTGTCTCATTTTCTTTTCTTCCTTTTGAGACAGCGTCTTGCTCTGTTGTCCAAGCTGGAGTCCATTGGTGCAATCTCGGCTCACTGGTTCACGCGATTTGAACCTCCGCCTCCCAGGTTCAAGTGATTCTCTTGCCTTGGCCTTCTGAGTAGCTGGGATTACAGGCACACACCACCGTGCCCAGCTAATTTGTGTCTCATTTTCAAGAGTAGAAACCCTAAATATTTTATTTTCATTCCTTTTCCAAATTATTTGTGAATAAGGTTAAAGGATTACAAATGTAAAATCTATTATTTGTGAATTCTAAATGTAGTTCTGCTGTTGTACCTGTGGAAACATCTTATAGAAGTACATATCAGCCGGTTGCAGTAGCTCACGCCTATAATCTCAGCACTTTGGGAGGCCGAAGTGGGTGGATCATCTGAAGTCAGGAGTTCAAGACCAGCCTGGCCAACATGGTGAAACCCCATCTCTACTAAAATAAAAAATTAGCTGTGTGTGGTGGCACATGCTGTAGTCCCAGCTACTCCGGAGGCTGAGGCAGGAGCATTGCTTGAACCCAGGAGGTGGAGGTTGCAGTGAGCCAAGATCATACCATTGCACTTCAGCCTGAGCAACAGAGACTCTGTCTCAAAAAAAAAAAAAAGTACATATTTTGCACATCCTTCATGTTTACTGCAGAACTTATAATTAAAAATAATAGCTTCAAAAAAAAATAAATATTTAACATAGTAACCATCACAATGTAATGCCTTAGATTTATGTGGCCTTACTGTACTGCTGTATAATTTAGGACAGTAACTGCTAGCTGGGGTCTCAGTTATTAATTGGAAGCTCCTTTTTGGGTTAGAAAATTTGAGAGGAGACATCAGGAGTGGTACGATTTACTTGCAGAAGTCCTGGTTGGAGATAGTAGATGGTGTTGAATTCTCTGGCTCAGAGAATTCATAGGTGAGCACTCCTGACTACAAATGTGTGTTGAGTGGTTCTGGTGCCTCATTGTCATTTTCATAGTTTATGAAGTGATCCTGGGGAGCTGAGAGGGGCAGTGTATGTTTCCCTTTTCAGTCACTATACAACTCCTCATTGGACTAGGAAGATAGTCCAGTTTCTACTCTGCTGCTATTTGATTTGTTACCTTCTGTCAGGTCCTTAAAACAGGCAGTTCCTATCAACAGGTAGGCCTCTAATGTGAGTCACTAATCGTCTTACATACTGCTTAAATCAGAGAACTGTTGCACAAGAACTGAAGAATGATGTCAAGTTTGGGGTATAGATAATGTATGAGGAAGTAGATGACCAGAGATTCTCAGACTTTTTGTTTCTGACATCCTAAGAATCTCAGTAATTTTTTTCAGGTTGTCCCTTGGCCAAAAGAAATACCTAACAGTTACATTTATTAACTTATGTTCTAAAAATTCTAGTAGCCCATTTGAAAAAAATTATACACAAGAGCAAAAGTGATGTAATGATTTTTTAAAAAGTAGAGACAGCGTCTTGGCTCTATTGCCCAGGTTGGAGGATCATAGTTCACTGTGACCTCAAACTCCTGGGCTCAAGCAAGGCTCCCACCCCCACCTCCTGAGTAGCTGGGACTTAGGCATGTGCCACCACACCCGCCTAATTTTTTTGTAGAGATGAGGCTCTGGCTATGTTGTCCAGACTGTATTGAACTCCTGGCCTCCCAAAGTGCTGGGATTACAGGTGTGAGCCACTGTGCCCAGCCTGATGTGATAATTTTTATCTCATCCTTAAATCATCACAGTTACTAGTGGAATATATGTGCTTGTTGGGCTCTGTGCACTTTCTCAAAATTGGAATCTGATTGGACACCACTGTCCTTATTTCTTCCACAGTGATTTTTACATGGTGCTTTTTGTCACAGCAGTGGCTCCAAACCCAGCTTCACAAAGATAGGATGCCATCAAAGGGAATGCAGTGCCTTATAACAGTAAAACTGAACTACCTGGAACTAGTAGTTTATACAAAAGATGTGTCCATGTCAATGTTTTTCCTGAGGTACTCCAAGGCACTTCAGCTTGTGCAGTTTAGGAAACTTGGTTCTAAGGAGAGCCAGTGGAAATTACTGCTTTTGATGAGAAGTAATCAAACCTATGATGAGGACTAATCTAACAAACCCCCAAAAATTCCCTTGGAAGTATTTTTTTTACAAAAGGATTATACTTTAAAGAACATATCTAAGGGCTGGGCATGGTCGTTCATGCCTATAATCCCAGCAGCTTGGGAGGCTGAGGTGGGCAGATCACTGGCGGTCAGGAGTTCGAGACCTGCCTGTCCAACATAGTGAAACCCCACCTCTACTAAAAATACAAAAATTAGCTGGGTGTGCTGGTACCCACCTGTAGCCTCAGCTACTTGGAAGGCTGAGACATGAGAATCACTTGAAACCAGGAGCAGAGGTTGCAGTGAGCCATAATTGCACCACTGCACTCCAGCCTGGCTGACAGAGTGAAGCTGTGTCTCAAAAAAGAACACATCTAAGGATTTATTTGATATTGGGAAATGAATGGTGTATTCAGTTTTACTTTATTATTAATCTAGATGATGTTACTGGGTTTTAAAAGTGCTGAATAGGACACCAGAACTTTCCCAAACTTCAGGATCAGCCATATACATTATTATATACTGAATGTGGTAAATACTATTATCTATATTGACTTCATATTTTAATGTAAATACATTTTTAAAGAAAACCTTCCATAAATTTAATATAAATATATTTTTAAGGGAAGCTTTCCATTAATGGAAAAAAACCAGTTACATATAGCTAAAAATAAAATGAAATTCTTGGCTTCTGGCCTGATGAGATGACAGATGGTTTTGTGTCTGGTTGTTCCTGTAAGTCATCTGATAAAGTTCTAATTCCTTTTTATTTTATTTTTCTGGAGAGATGATTCAGAAACTATAAAATCCAACCTTTTGTGATGTAAGATTCAATAGTTTTTAGTATATTTACAAGGTTGTACAACCATCACCACTGTCTAAGCCCAGACCATTTTCATCACCTTAGAAAGAAACTTCATACCTATCAGCTCTGACTCTCTGTTTCTTCCCTCCTCTCAGCCATTGGCAGCCACTAAGCTACTTTTGTCTCTGTGGATTTGCTGCTTCTCAGTATTTCTTCAATATTTATATGGAATACTATTTCATATAAATGGAATCATACAATATGTAGCTTCTGTATGTTTACTTAGCATAATGTTTTCAAGGGCTATCCATGTTGCATATATCAATCAATCAGAATTTCATTCCTTTTTTTGACAGTAATATTCTGTGTAATAATCTACAATGTTTATCCATCAGTTGATAGACATTTAGAGCGTTTTCACTTTTTTTTTTTTTTTGACATGGTGTCTCGCTCTGTTACCTAGGCTGGAGGACAGTGGCATGATCTCAGCTCACTGCAACCTCTGCCTCCCTGGCTTAAGCGACCCTCTGGCCTCAGCCTCCTGCGTAGCTGGGACTACAGGCACCTGCCACCACACCTGGCTAATTTCTTGTATTTTTTGTAGAGACGGGGTTTCACCATGTTGCCCAGCCTAATCTTGAACTCCTAACCTCAGAGGATCTACCTGATGGTTTATGACCTTGGGAAAAATAATATTTCTACTTTAAATAGAGTTATGTTGAAGATATAATGAGATAGCATATACAAAGTGCTTAAGCAAAATGCCTTTCCCACAGTAAGTGTTCTGTTCATAGTTTGTGTGTGTTTTTTAAATGAAAAGCAGTCATGTCTATATAACATCAAGGACTTTAATGTTGTTTTTTCCCCTACAGTTACTTACCCACCTTACCACCACACTGGAGCATAGATATGTTAACTTTTGTTGCAAAACAAGTCAACCCCAAATCTAATAGCTTAAAATATTGACTCATTACTCTTTCTCATGATTATATGTATTGGCTGCTTACTCTGTTGGTTTCACCCATGTTCACTCATGCAGCCGCCTTTACCTGGAGGCTCAAGTCACAGGTCTGGCAGCTAGCTGCTAGCTGGGCCATCTTTGTTCCTCTCCATGTGGCCTCCCTCCTCCAGTAAGCTAGTCTGGCTTCTTTACATGGCAGTCTTGGGGTAGTGTTCTTAGAAGGTGACAGACAAAAGCTTGAAGGCGTCTTAAAGCCTATGCAGTGGGACTTGCACAACATTATTTCCACCACATTTAATAGGTCAAAAAGCAGCCAGGTGCAGTGGCTCATGCCTATAATCCCAGCACTTTGGGAGGCTGAGGCAGGCAGATCACCTGAGGTTGGGAGTTCAAGACCAGCCTGACCAACATGGAAAAACTCCATTCTACTAAAAATATGAAATTAGCCAGGCATGGTGGCACATGCTTATAATCCCAGCTACTCAGGAGGCTGAGGCAGGAGAATCACTTGAACCTGGGAGGCACAGGTTGCAGTAAGCTGAAATTGTGCCACTGCACTCCAGCCTGGGGAACAAGAGCAAAACACCATCTCAAAACAAACAAATAAACATAAAGTGAGACTAGATTCGAGGGAGTGGATAAAGACCCCCAACTTTGGATGGAAAAAGCAGCAAAAGCACATTGCAAAGTTGTATGCACAATGGAATGAGAGGAAATTGTGGCTATCGAATAATTGGTGGCTGGGTGCAGTGGCTCATGCCCCTTTTAGAGGCTGAGGCAGGAGGATTGCTTGAGTCCAGGAGTTTGAGACCAGCCTGGGCAACATGGTGAAACCCCTTTGCTACAACAAATGCAAAAAATTACCCAGGTTTAGTGGCATGCGCCTGTAGCTCTAGCTACTCTAGAGGCTGAGGTGGGAAGATCACCTGAGCCTGGAAGATCAAGGCTGCAGTGAGCCATGATTACACCACTGCACTCCAGCCTGGGTGACAGAGTAAGACC